CCCAAGTACAGCCATGTCTCCCAACTCAGACCCCGACCAGAACCACACATCACGGATGGAGGAATGGCTTGGCGCCCACCCGCCACAGCATCTTTGAGAATCCTGGGGCTAAAAAAGATTTAGGTTTTCGAGGACACAACGAGAGTTCGTGGTCTTTCGTAAGTTCCCTAGGTATCTGGTTATTTAGAGAACACAGGGCAATAGCTTTTATTGTCCCCAGACTCTTCGTCATGTTGTAATTCACCGTCAAATTCAACGACCTCGACGGCGATTGTGGGAGAGCACGGGCAAGCGTGACGCCTTCCTGTTATGGATTAGTGCGATACAGCGAGTTTGTGGTGAGAGCGTGACGCTTTCCTGATCGGGTTAGCACCACTCCAGAGATTAATGCTTTCGGTGCCTAAGGCTACCAGGCACTACGCCTCCACCCTTACTACTACTACGGAGGAGGAGGACCATTTCAAAAGTCTTTGCTCGCGTACAAGCCACATATTGCTTTTTCTTGTTAGAAGAACATTGAGTACATTGTACGAGTGTTAGCGCCATAAGAAGCCCTATATTATGGCGCACTTAGTCCACTGGCTGTGCATGACATGGCTCTAACACCACTAAAGCTGTAGTGCGTTTAGCGGATGATTACCTGCAGTTACATAATGTCTAATGTACCGTCAGGTACTTAACAAGGATTAAGGGGTGTGGTGTCCGTAGCGCGGGCAAAGACTTTTGAAATGGTCCTCCGTACTGTGTAATTTGATCAAATACATCAAATCTGGCCTGTGCACGCAGTGAGGTCCTCTCAAAAATGCGTTCAATTACATGTTTTTCGTCCGTGTATGGAGGACCATTTCAAAAGTCTTTGCCCATGCTACGAATACTAGAGGAGCGAGAAAAAGCAAATTGGCAGGGATAATGTATTGGGCTATTCCCTGATGTACCTACCGATCCGTCCGACCTTCCTTATACTCATTTCCACCTTCCAATTCAATGATTTTCTCTATGTGACCAGGGATGCATTCGATCCAAGCCTGAATTGTTAGATTGGATCATGTACAGAGCATCTGATCGGGTGGTCACGTGGTGACCACCCAGGGTCCGGCCGAGGGCTCGCCTAGCCTTTGCCGGGCCCTGCCTGAATAGGAAGGCGGTCAGGGAAGCCTATAACCCCTGACCAACGCAGAGATAGCCTAGTCAAGAAGACAGACAATACACGAGTGATTTCGGGCTAAGTCAACTAAGTGTCATGCTAGCTTTCCGACATGAATGGCTTCCTGCAGCAATTCCTCCTAAGCAACTTTCTAAGCCCTGACTGCTTCCTGACGTGACTTTGGGGCACCTTTCCTTGTAGTCCGTTTCTTCATCCATGGCCAAGCCGGCTCAATAGCATTAAGGTCTAGTGAATTCGGGCACCAAAGTAGCCAGTTGACGCCATTCAGATCATAGCACTGTTGCTGTATGTAGTGGTTATGTGCCGGGGCCTTATCTTCTTGAACGATCGTGCCCGGCCGGTCCTTGGCATATTCCAAAGCAAAAGGAAACATCTTCGGGATCAAAATCAACGTCTGATAGCGATACCAGTCAATACCGCCTTTGGAGCCTCTCGTCAGCTTTCCAGACTGCTTGTTCCATCGCCAACTGGGCTTCAGGCCGGATAGTTGACGAAGATGAAGTCGTCTCAGACCATTTGAAAGTTCCCACTCTTCCCGCATAATAGGCTCAAGTTCCTCATTCATTTTTGTGATAACTTCCTCCATAGCTTTCGTCTCTGCTGTAGTCTCCTGTGACGGGTTGGCCTTAGCGGGTGTTGCATCTAGCAGATGGATGAGATCATATGTGTGAGAAGCTCTTGCTATTCTTCCTATCTAATAGAGGTCTGCTAGGTCAGTCTTATAGATGAAGATGACCTCGGATGACCTCGGACGGCCGAGAGGCTCCGGATGGTCCGGAGTCTTTGGCTTCAGCTAGCTATTGATAAAATCAAGGAAAAGCTAGGACTATCATGAAATCGGTGACGAGGCCGATGACGAGGCAGGTGGCGATGGACGCCTATGATGAAGGAAGAAAGCTTCAATAGCATGATACATCCGGAATCCGATATCCCGATATATGTAACAGCGGGGCTTAAGCGGTAGCTAGCGCTTCGACCGACCCGCATATGCATGCGGTTCCCAGTTACGGCAAAAGGGAAAGTAATGACTCAATCGCCCATTGAGTCATCTAGCTGTACCTATCTGCCCTACCACTAGCTGCCTGAACCAGGCACAGCCTGGTTCCTAATACTAGGTCTTCAACCTGTGACATCTCCGGACTCTAGCAGTGACAAGGGCCTTTCTTGTAATAGGAAAAACAGCCCCAGAACATGAACTTAGATGCGCCTTTTCATCGTTCCCAGATACAACTTCGAACAAGGGCTTCATCAGACTTCCTCCATACGCGATAACTTCCACGCCAATGAAGCAGGATGACAGAAGTCTCATCAGACCAAATGACATTCTTCCAGTCCTCAAGAGTCCAGTGGCGATGTTGAAGACACCAGTCCAGTCGTTCCTTCCTCATCTTCTTCGTCAACCCAGGCTCCCTCGTCGGCTTTGTCTTTCGGAATCCAGCTTTTCTGAGTATTCGCTATACAGTGACTGCTGAAATCTCAACTCTATTGCTGCTGAGTTCACCCGCAATATCAGCACACGTTTTTTCTCTGCCAAATCGATTGCGGCGCACCTTGGCGATGATCTCTATTCGTGCCTCGTCTGTCTGCTTCTTGGGACACCTAGGGCGGTCGAAATCGTGAAGGAATTCGTCACGGAGGGTCAACGGATGGTGGTTTGGATCGAAACCGCGTTTAATAGCTCGTGTCATGGGCCAGGGATGAGAAATCAGTCCACAGCTCAGAGGCACTTAGGAACTTCTTTCTTCTTCATCTTTGATGTAAATAGCATCCTAGACTAGATAGCTGGAATACAGTTACTAGAGGCCGTTCACAGCTTGGGCATATATGCTATTGATCGTACGTATCAAAAGACCAGTTATTTCTGTGATTTCGGCTGTTGTTTTTCCACCTGACGGGCTCTTCAGGATGACAACAAGAACCCGAGTCGCAATGTCTGTTTTTTCTGGCATTTTTCGCTGTTGAGGTGGTCAGAATAAGGGGAAAATGAAAGATAAACAAAGATGGGAAAGGTACCTAAGGATTTTGGTATGTGCCTTCGCTTGTGACCGTAATTCCTGTTTGTGGCTGATCCTAGCGTCTTTGCCAGCGTACAAGCTATATTATAACGCACTAAGCCCACTAGCTGGATATAATATAGGTCTATCACTACTAAAGCTGCAGTAGATTTAGCGGATAGTAGCCTGTAGCGATACGAATCGAACTTTGCTTATGCGGATCGCGACCGTCGTCGTCAAGCTTCTGGAGCACGATCGATGGGTTTGAATCGCAGATCGACCACTGAAGGTGGAACTTCAGGGAATAGATGCAAAGAAGCATAGAAGGCTCCTCTACAGCAGATGTCTATCTCTGACGAGGCGTCCCGAGATGATGCCGTGTGTGGCGTCTAAAAATGCGGTACTGCTGATCCACTAGGTCATGGGTTCGAACAGGTATACTGCGGAACTTCCCAGGTATACACCATACCATAAGTCACGCGACGCGTGTGCACTCTCCCATGCCCTGGCCCAAAGTTCGCGATACCGGCAAGCTCCGCCACCCTGCTGCTTAAGGTTGAGTTATGCTACCCCGTCCGTGGCTAACATCTATATGCCCATGCCATAAGGGTGCATGGAACTATCCCCGGAAAGAAACTAGTCAGATGATTAGATGACGACACAAAACTTCAATTCATTTTCAGCGGACTAGTGAATAGCTTGTGGCTCATTCTGCTGACTCCAGCTAAAGTTGGAGGTGGCATTGGGTCAGGACTCCCATCGCCGCCTGGCAGACAAAGACAATGATACACAACCCGCTCGATCCATAAAGGGAGTTGTCGGGAGTGGGAAATTCAGAATCGTGCTTTTTTAGAAGCTCAACCCTGTAGCCTGATTCTCTTGCCCTTTCCTGCCAAAAAGCCGGTACAGAGTGCTTGCCAGTCTCGTCTCACCATCCTCATCCCCGGCCACCCAGGTCGTGCCGTTCGAACGCTGTTGTTTCTCTTATCCGATATTCTCGCTTGCTCCCTGCCTCTCTTTTAAATAGGAATGCTTCAACGCCCGCGGGCTATTAATGCTTGGACATCCCTGGAGAGATGTTGATATCTGGTGGTGTGAGTGTCGATGATATTGTGGGCACCTGTTCCCGCCCCGCGAATAGAGTGGAGATATTTCGGCTTCAACGCGATACTCTCCTCTTTATCTTCGACTGGTCCAATGACATATTGTACGCTCTTAATTCCTTCTCTGCCTTGGCCGAGGCCCTGGCGTCTTGGGCTGGCGATGTCGAGGAAGACTGTGTTATACGCGTCGAAGGCGAGCTCGAACTGTGAATCGACGCTGGCGTCTTCTCGTATTCTGACAGCCGACAGGAATCAGAGCAGTAAGTTGCTCCCTCTGTCTGGGTGCCACAACCGAGGCATGGATTAGACGTCCATTCCAGACCTGACGACATATTGGAAAGTGCTAGAAGGCCTGCCGATGTTGGGAGTAACACAGCGACGGCAGGGCTGGCGCATTCTTGTATTACAGAGCTCTAGGCTGTTGAGGGGCAGAATTTGCTGTCTCCAGCCACTGACGCAAGAGGCAATGTGCATCAATCGCCCTCCAGCTCAGGTAGACTACTTATATACCTGCTCCCACTTGGACCCTCCCCATCTCCGTCCAAATGTTCATCTCCATCTCTACACAGCCCACTTCTTTCTAAAACCTCCTCGGCCTGGCGGGGAGGAGAGGGCGAATCATCTGGGGTGTGAATTACGATTGAAGGAGCGTCTCACGGACCCTCCTCATTGGCGAGGGAGACACCAGAGATGGATTGATGAAGTACAGGGGCCGGTGAGCGAGCGACGAAGATGCCGGCGGGTAGTAAAGGAGCCAAGGTTGTCCGTAGAGGCGAGGCACATTTCGGGTGAATAGACTCATGTAAGCCCAAGATCAACAAGGCTTCGAGGCCTCAAAACTAACTCCCCTAACACGGGAATATATAAGCTGTAAGTTTAACCCTGGTTCTACGCGCAAGCGAGGCAGACTTCGAGTGAGCGGAATAATAGAGCTTCAAGGATGAGTCGTCTAGCAGGAGCATACAAGGCTATAGACAGGTAAAGGAAGCGGTCGAGCTTCTCGAGAATGTGGTGGCGGTAAGGGAGAGGACGCCAGAGGTCAACCGCCCATCCCGACTAGCGTCACAGCACGAGCTCGCACGAGCATGCGAGGCCAAGAGACAGGCGGAGGAATCGGAACAATCTCCTATTCTCTAAGCAGTTAGTGGTCAACGACATACCTGACAGACATTCCCGGCCGCGCGCTTTCCCGAGGGATATTAAGGTCGGATTAATACAGACACGAGACAGGGTTCGCGCTCACTTACACTGTTCTGCCCTCCCCAGACAGAAACGATGTCGTACTTCAACAACTGGCGCCGCCGGCGCTCTTGCATGATGTCAGAGAATATACTGCCTCTCTTCAGAGTCTCCAGCACGTCGTCCACTTTCTGGTATCCCGCAGCACTGGCGATTCTTGTTCGACCCCGACCTGCGTGGGCAGTTCGCCTGCGTGGTCTTCGTTTTTGAGGACCTTCACCAGAGCACGACCCGCTGTATCCTGGATGAAATCGCCAAGAAAGCGAGTGGCTCCAAGGGAAAGTCCCGGGCAGGGTCTTCGAGCTCCTCGGCGTCATCCCGGGGCCATGGGGCCGTCCCGACCGACCGGTACATCTTTGAGCACGTCTTTAACACCGCCGAGGTTGACCGGGTCCTCAGCCAGCCGGACCTGCGGTACGGGCTCCGCATGATTACGGCCTGATTTACGGACTGCTCTAGTTTGTCACGGGCGGCATGGCCATGACTGATAGACTCGATGAGGAGACTCTGGCCGCGAAGGCGGTCCGGGAGAGGAACCTAGGACGGCAGGATATGGGATTCCCGGTCGCTACCCATCTCGAGGTTGACCGAATTGACGGGACCTTTGTGTGACGTTTCTTTTTTGTTTTGCCACAGTTGTCCATTTTTGGGCGGTCAACCAACAGCCCCAGGACTTGTTGGGCGCTTAGAGGAGGACCGCATGACGCAACCTATGGGGCCCCAGGATTTCTGGAGCCGCGAGAACCTGGAGCGATTTGGGAGAGTGTGGGTATGTGCGGGTGTATGTCTGTGTGTCCCAGGGAGTTGGCTCTCTCGCCCGGCGGCCGTGTTGTCGCTGAGCATATTTCCTTTTCTTCTTCTGTTCGTTCGTTATGAATGACACCATGAACGCTTTATTTCGAACATAGCGGGTTTCAATGCCGATGAAACCAGACCGGCATGTAATTCTCCAAAATATTTCGCGGCCCTGTTGTAGGCATTGAGCATGGCAAAGAAGGTGCCGATGGCAAAGGACGTAGGTGTACTGGTCGAGCGCCATCTTGATGGAGGGCGAGCAGGTGTCAGTCGATGATGGATACTAGATACTGGGGGTAAGAGAGAGAGAGCGAGGGAGAGCTTTTATATGCCATATAGCAGGGCCTTCTGCTACCCTCACCTACCCCCGTAGCTCACCGAAGCCTGCAAACGTCATATAGAGACAGTGGCAAGAGTGGTTTGCCCTATTTAGATACAACTCGTGCCACACTCCCATATCGCAGTGTCGTTCACAGATAAGGCTCGTAGCTGCAAAACATCTCCCTATATGAGTTCCTGAAATCCCCACGCGGGCGCTAGAAATGGTCCTTATAGTCGATCCCCTGCCAAGCCTGGGGAACCCTGCTTACCCACCCCACCGGTACCAACAAGGGATGCCCGAAAGAGTATGGGTGTCCTTCGGGCAACCAGGCCAGAACCTCCTTAGGGGACAGTCTAGCCTACTTATGTACCGACGGTTGGTCGTGCACAGTCGGGTCACGATTGTGCGCACATGTGCTGAGTAGTAAAAAATATCTTGGAAAGTGGTTCATTGCATAGAGTGTATACTAGTACACATTGATTTAATGTCTCATGATCTCTCTCCAGATACCTCCTACTTGCTTTTCCGGATTCTATATATGAACATGGTAGACAATAGAGTAAAGACCTCAAGCGCTACTTGGTCTCACACAGCAGCCTTAACTCTAATTAGTTATTTCGTCCCCAGGCGGCAGAACTGACAGAATGAAACAGTTCACCAACGCCTTCCGAACGTGGCTGTGCTTGATTTCAAACATAATATTTGCGTGGTGCTCTACCCGAGCTAGTTCCATCACTTGCCGCCCATGCTTTGCCGCCCGCGCTTTAGCGGGCGATTTAACGCGATTTAGCACGCCATCTATTCCCGACAACTGTTCCTTTTACGCACACCGACTGTCCTTCCGTCGAAGTGACCAGTCATCGATAGCCAGTATGTTGCCGATGTCACCCTCTGCAGTATGTACGGAGACAAGCTTTTGCCAAGACTTCCCCCCAGGACTGACACACATGGAGTGGAGGCCCAGAGTAGACAAGCTTATTAGCGAGCGCACGGGCGTGCAGGCTATCTCGCATTACACTGCCAGACTGACAATGTCTCGCAGTACCTACCTTAACCTGAGCAAGATGGCCGTCGATATTCTGTCAATTCCTGCAATGTCTGCTGAACCCGAACGACTCTTCTCTCGGGCAATGATCACCATTACGGACCGTCGCAACCGACTTGGGAGTGATGTGATTGAAGCACCGGAATGCGTGAAGTCACGTCCGAGATACGAGATTTTCATGGTGACGATACTAAGCCTTGGCAGTTGAATGATGAAGATCACGTGGAATATATGGGATATATTGTCACCCTGCCAATATATTGGGTCCTTGGCAATACAATATGGGCCAATGTCATATGGCGTAATACAATACGCACCGCTTGGCAATACAATAATATTGCGAGGGGTCCATATTGCCAATATACATAGTTAACTTATTGTTTATATTATTATCAACACTGGGCATTTTCTTATAGATCACCGCTATTGACCGATGTTAGCGACTACCTCAGCGAGTAGAGGATACATACGCCCTCCGGATCCTTCGACTACTTGGGCCCATTGCTCCGTCGGGATATCAAAAGAAGCCATAGTTGGTGGGGAAACTAAGAGGGAATACCTGGCAGTCGTGAAAAGGCTCAGGACCCACGCACGAGTGAGCGAGAAAAAATTCGAATACGGGGTGCGACATCTACGAAGGGTTATAAATAGAACAGAGCCTACATAGTTTCACGGGAGTGTGTGCAGATTGAATGAATACGCAAGCTGTCATATGATTGATGACCAGCCAGGAATTCAAAAGTTGGGGATTTTGACTTTAACATGTGATATTGACTCTGCCATTGACTTAAGTTCAGCTACAAATGCCATAACTTAGTGCGGACAATGGCTTGAGCAGGAGCGGCCAGGGACAGAGTGCCTCGCCAAATCATTCTGTGTGCTCGATCACAATGCCAATGGCAGATGTTAAACGCAAGGTCGCGAATGCAAAATGCGTGGGATCGATACTTATGCTTGCAAATTTTGTGGGACAAAGTTCGTGATCACTGGGCATCGAAGACCCCGTACACCTTGCCCTTGTCATCGCTCAGTTCTAAGGTCCACTGGTATATAGCGCGATATACACAGAGGACAGGTATAATGGTGCGTCAGATACCATGAAGCAATGCAACCCGAATGGAAGCTATGTCTACACGATAAGCGGCGGACGGTATCGCTGTCCCTCATCGCCTCCAAGCATATAACACTGATAATAACAGGAGCGGTTAGTTCGAGATCACGAATCCATCATCTATTTTGGAGATTGAGTAGCCTACCAAGTGACAAATGAGTCGGGCCGGGCCAAATGCTCCCCTGTGCCTTCAAGTTTCATCTCCATTTTCACTTGCTTATACGTCCTCGGCGGAGCTATTGAGTCTAGCCGCTGCATATCGTTAGTCTCAGAGTTTGTGCTGCTTGCCGACTGTACGTCCTCTGAATCCTCTGGGCTCGCGAGTTAGTTGCTTCTGGCAATTTTATATATGCATCTTTCCCATCGTTAGCTCCAGAGATATGGGCCCGTACTCGTCGGTTGGGAGACGACATACACGTACATGGCAAGAATCGCATAAAGGACGAACATAATCCCGAAGAAGAAAATTATGGGGAGCCATCCCTCGATTGGATGCATCGGCGTTTGGTCGGGGCTAGTTGGGGAATTATTGGATATCGTCATGATTGGTTGGCGATCCGTCAATAACGTCCACTGTTCTAGCTTACCGAAATGCACGAAGCGCGTGGAGCCTGGATTTATGTGTTCTGCACCTTGGAGCGTATGCCAGGTGCAAGTGGTCAGCCAGAACATCATATCACCCGGCCGATCCGAAGCCATCCGAAGCAGAGTTTGGGTAGCGTATGGCAGCCTAGGGGTCACTGTTGCAAACCCAAAAAGCACGTTCCAACAAGTAAAATAGATCTGCACGGACATCCTTGTGAGCCCCACAGTATATTGGACGATGTATCTTACGAACATAATTCATTCAATTCTCGTTGCTACAGTAGACCCGGCAACAGCAGCAGGACCGCAGCGGACCAGCGCAGAATAGCATCACCATAGAATAACCGCTATCTACCTTACTAGCTACTGTGGCTTCGGTGTACCTGACAGTCAAGCCATAGGAGGCATAAAGACCTACTTTTCTTATTTCCCCGCTAGCAAGTATACCCAGTCGGAGTGCAACTTAAAAACAGTCACCGCAGCTGGTTCGGTCCGTCCAGCCCTATAGAGGAAACCAGTAATTAATAGATAAAACACAGTAATCAAGAAAAGGAACGACTTATATATAGACCCCCTTAATTACCTCTAGATTAGACTATTACTCCTTAGCTATTAATACACTTAATTATATTAAATACCTATTTGACTATTATTAGAATATAATACCCACTCTCCTTAATACAACGCCCTAATCCTACTACTAACATAAACCCCAATATAGCTCAGGTTTATTACCTGGGAAACCTAACTGTCTCAGGAAGGCAGTCGAGCGGCTTGACTATGTTGTATTACAGGTATTACAGCGTTCTGAGCATAAACGCACTGAGTATTAGAATAGAAATAAAAGCTAGCATATACAGGTGTTGGAGAAGCCGACTTCGATTTTACTTGTTGCACTGACGCCTCCAGGGGGTTGGGAAAATGTCAGCATGAAGCACAAGCCCCCTTTATGATCCCGGGTATAAATTAAATGAGGCTCCCCCTGCGGAAGAGATTATTTAACCAGCTCGATTCTAACCTCGCACCCGGAAATCCGTCCAAGGACCAGAGAAGCGTTGCCTTTATCTCTTGCTATAGCATGCGAACTTCCCCAGTATCTGCTAAAGCTATCAATAACCAAACCATTAGACTAACACGATAACGCGCTATTTTAACAATCTGCTTTAGCCGGTGCTGTTACTTATTCACCTACGCTATTCTTCTATCCAATATACAAAACTGCTATTCTACCGGCCAGATAAGGACGGCTTTTCCTTAATATTATAACCTTTTAGGCCGGCGAGTTATAAGTTATTATAATCTTTCCCAGCCTTAAGAAACTGAATATAAGCAGGCGGCATCTATCAACACCCATCCTTGAATCAGGCGGTTGGTGCGAGACCTATAGGGACTACGTTAAGGAACGAAACAACACAAGCAAGGCCCGCCGGGAACTCCAAAACGAGATGCAGAGGCTGAAGATGGCCCTCAAATAGAAGATTCAAGACGAATGGACTGCCAAGTAGGTAGTGGATGATATCGAATGCCAATTATGGGGTGTTGGGCTCGCTGAGCACGCAGCAGTGGATAGGTCCTGTGTCACATATCAGCCCTGCCCCACTACAGCAGCTGCCTACCAGGCAGCTGCTAAGACAACTCACCGACCTACGGGCCACCCCTATCTACGGGCCACGTCTGTGCACACAGGATGTTAATTGGTCAGACCCGCCCCACCTCTTGGGCAGTGACTAACGGAGTGACTTCTGTCTTCTCAATTAGGCGATTTGTGATAAGATAAGAGATAAGACTTACATCTACACAGCAAAATTATAACTAGGAATACTAAGGGGAATAGCCAATAAGAAAATATAAGAAAAATACTATTAGATAGAGGAAAAAATCTAGAAAATTCTAATCTGGCCCACCTTTTTCCTTCTCTGTAATTCGCTTCTCTTTTGCTGCTTTCTTCTCTTTTGCTACTTTCTTCTCTTTTACTGCTTTCTTCTCTTTTACTGCTTTTTTCTCTTTTGCTGCTTTCTTCTCTTTTGCTGCTTTCTTTTCTTTTGCTGATTTCTTCTCTTTTTCTAGTTTTTTAGCTGCTGCTTTTTTCTTTACTTTTTTTTTAATTTTATCTTTTTCTATTTACTTCTATATATTAGCTCTAGTTTTTTCAACCTCTTAAATACTAATAAAAGAGGTATTAGAGTTAGCTGGAGCTATTTTAGCCTTCTTTTTAAGTTTTAATAGCTTTATTTAACTTTTTAAGCCTTAAATTACCTTATTAAAAGTTACAGCCCTAATAGTAAAATTATCCAATAATTTTTTAGTTTTTATAAAGACTAATTTTTACTTGGAATTATACTGGATATTAATATTCTTTAAATATATATATAGATATTTAATTTTATATAATCTATTATAACTCTTTTACTATAATAACTTTAAAGCTAAAAAAAGAGTTATTAAAATCAGGAAAAAAAATACTCTTATAATATAAAAAATAGTATTATTAATACTATTTATACTATTTTAGTCAGACTAATATTAGCCTGATAATTAGAAATTAAAAATTAATTTAAAATTAATTTATTTTAAAATTAACTTAATTTTAAAGCTAGATATCTTAATATCTTAAATATAATAGGGGATAATTTTAATACTATCTAAAAGCTGGTTTTTTAGGCTATCTAATAGTATATATATTATCTAGCTATAATAGCTAAATTTTGAGAAATTATCTATAAAAAGCTAAAGATTTTTAAGTTAATTAAAACTTAAGATTTCTAATATTATATACTAAAATATACTATTTTATACTATTTTATACTATTTACCTCTTCTCTATATATACCTCTTAATCTTATATCCTTTATTAAAATATTTATCTTTATTATAATATTATTTTATTTTACTACTTAATAACCTTTAATATATAGTATTAAAGAGATTTAAAAGTTATATTCTTTTAGAGGCAGCTTAGTTAGTATTAGAATCTATAACTTAATATCTAGCTTTAATAATATTTATTAGAGGTTATATAGTAATAGAAGAATAGAATAAATTATAAATAAAAGGATATTCTTATAAAGAATATATAGATAAGAGATAAGATAAGAAATAAGGGATAATAGTATAAAATAGTATATAATAGTGTATAATAGTATATATTATACTAATAATAATAATATATAAAAGTTCAGAATTTATATTACAACCCATATTAGATTAGGCCTCGACTATATTATATATACTAATAGTATACCTACTTATTCCCTTCTATTATATATAAATCACCTCGATTATTAAATAATCTAAATAATCTAAAGATATAAAAATTATTAAGATTATTAGATAATTCTTATAATCTATTAACCCACTATAATTATATAGTCAATTAAGTAGTATATATTTACTATATATAGCTACTTAGCTATTAATATAATTTAATTACCTTAATTACCTTAACTTGCTATATATTACTATACTTAACTATTACTAAATATAATATTACTCTATAAGTAACACTCTAACTACTCTGCTAATATAAATCTATAATTTATCTACTAGTAACCTACCTTCTATTTACCCTAGACTATACCTATAGCAGACTAGGAGATACAACTGTTATATATTAATAGCTCTTATTTAGAATAGTTACTTATATTAACTATTAAGCAATATCTTATACTATTAAAATATCCAGAACCCCCGCTACCCTAAGTAATATATCTATACTACCAGCCTATAATATACCGGTAAATAATACTAATATAGCTGCTAAAATAGTATACTTAAGTAACCTAATTTATATTCTATAGTAGTAAGTATAAAATATACTAGCTGTAATTGCTATAAATACTAAATATAACCTAGAGGAAGTAATAAAATTATTATTATTTAAGAAGTTTAATAAAATATCTAGTAATATTATATTTTTTATTATTAGGATAAAAGGATACTTTTAGTAGTACTTATAATAATTAGTATTTATAGAATTATAATTACTATTTATAAGTAATTTAATAGCTAGTAATACTAAGAATTAGTTTAAATTTATTCTTAAGGATTTTCTTAATAATAATAAAGCTAAGTAAGATTAGAATATAATTAACCTATTTATAGATTGGAAGAATTTAAAATAGCTCTTAAAGATATATTTAGAATGGTTAATAAAGAAAGGCAGGTAGCTATAAAGATCTATATGCTTAAATAACTCTACTTTGCTGCTGCTTATATTATTATACTCTAATAAGTTGCCTCTAAATTAAACTAGAAGAATAAGATATTTATAGAGATATTCTATTAGGGACTGAAGAATGAGGTTAAGAATGAGCTTTATAAAGCTAATTGACTTGATACTCTTACTAAATATATTACTATAGCTGTTAAAATCGACAAATAATAATATAAAAAATACAGGGAGAAAGCTATAATATACTAGAGAGGTTAAGATACTCTATACAATCCCTACTATCCCAATTAATAAGAATCTAGTAGAGGATAAAGAGGTAGCTACTAGGGTAACTCTTATAGAAATATCTTTTAAGGGATATATACTAGACTTATAAAACTTAAAGCTATATAGAGGTAGCTTTAAGATAAGAAGGATATTATATATTATAACTACAATAAAAAAGGATATTTTGCATGAGAATGCTATAAGTTTAAAAAAGAATAATAATTTTAATTTATATCTACTGGGTAATAATTATTAAATACTATCTAGAGATAGAAGGAAATAGAAATAGCAGTATAAATGTAAATTATTACTATAATATAAGGTATATATAACTATACTAGCTTAAATAGCTCTGTATATTTATTTAGCTTAAAGTAATACTTATTTAAAAAAGAAGTAAAAGATTCTTATTAGGAGAAACCTACTTTAAAAATTAATAAAAAAAGGAATTTAGAAGAATAGATACTAGTTTTAGAACCCCTAATAACCTAATTATTAGTAGAAATAATAAGAATTATAG